CACCCAACAGGCTCCACCATCCACAGTGGATTTCGGTATCCAAGAAACAAAGCCCAGCAGATACTAAGGGATTGCCATATTGGGAATACAGTGTTCCCTCACGTATCGCAGGTGTTATTATTATTATTATTATTATTATTATTATTATTATTATTACTATTATTATTATAACTTTATTTGTACCCCGCTAGCATCTCCCGAAGGACTCAATGCGGCCAAGGGCTCAAAACACAACACAACAATACAATACCTAAAGCAAATTAAAAAAACAGTTAAGCAGTATAAACAATAACAATCCAACAGTACATCAAGACACAATAAAACAGGGCCGGGCCAGAGTAATGGGTACAAGATTAAAAGTGCTGATGTGGCAGGAGGTGTGCCGGATTATCAGTAAGTGCAGTGTGCAGAGTGCGGCAATCTTAATTCTACTAAAGTGCTTCTAGGACTTGGTATTGGAAATTCCTAATCTGAGAAGGCACACCGGAACAGCCAGGTCTTCAAATTCTTTCTGAAAACTGCCAATGTAGGGGCCTGTCTGAGATCTTTTGGGAGGGTGTTCCAGAGTCGGGAAGCCGCCACAGAGAAGGCCCTGTCTCGAGTCCCCACCAAGCGTGCTTGCGACGCAGGCGGGATCATGACCAAAGATGACCAAAGCGATCGCGTGGGTTCGTAGACGGAGATGCGGTCACGCAGGTAGGCTGGTCCCAAACCGTTCAGGGCACCTGCACCTTGAATTGGGCTCGGAAAATAAATGGCAGCCAGTGCAGCTCCTTGAACAGGAGGGTTGACCTTTCTCTGTAATGGGCCCGGGTTAACATCCTGGCTGCTGCCCGTTGGACCAGTTGGAGTTTCCGAGCCGTTTTCAAGGGCAGACCTACGTAGAGCGCATTGCAGTAATCCAACCTAGAGGTGACCAAGGCATGGACCACCCCGGCCAGATCAGCCTTCGCGAGGTACGGTCGCAGTTGGCGCACGAGTCTCAATTGTGCAAAAGCCCTCCCAGGCACCACCGACGCCTGAGCCTCAAGCGTGAGCGATGAATCTAAGAGGACTGTGGCTTCAGGGGGAGTGTGACCCCGTCCAGCACAGGTTGCCACCCTATACCCCGGTCCGGTTTACGATTGACCAGGAGGACCTCTGTCTTGTCGGGATTGATCTTCAGCTTGTTCCTCCTCATCCAGACAGACACAGCGGGCAGGCACTCATCCAGCACCCGAGAAGCCTCCTTGGAATTAGGTGGAAATGAGTAGTAGAGTTGTGCGTCATCTGCGTAGAGGTGGCACCACACTCCAAAACTCCGGATGACCTCTCACAGCGGTTTCATGTAGATGTTAAAAAACATGGGTGTTATGTTCCAGGACCGCCCGCGATAAGTGAAAATCCACGAAATAGGGACCCTATATTTATCTTAATATTAATATGTATACTTTATTTTATTTATACATTATTTTAGTAGTTACAGTATACAGTATTCCCCCTTGTGTCTTCAATTCTTCTCACTCACTCTTCTCATTCTGTGACAAAAACCACTGAGTTTCGCATGTAAAAGGTTGACAGATTGATTCAGGACGATCGTCGTATCACTCAGAGAGAAATTTCAAGCATAACTGGCATTTCACAAGAACATGTGGGTCACATTACTGCTTTGCTTGGTTATTGGAAGATCTGTGCACGATGGATTGCAGAAACACAATGTCGACTTCTTCCGTGACAACTTCAGAAAATTTGTTCATTGTTGGCAGAAATGTATCCAATTGTCTGGTGATTATGTGGAAAAGTGAATAGTGGTAGTTAAAGAGCACATTCTAAGGATTGTATTGTCGAAGGTTTCATGGCCGGAATCACTAGGTTGTTGTAGGTTTTTCCGGGCTATATGGCCATGTTCTGGAGGCAATTTTTCTCCTGACGTTTCGCCTGCATCTATGGCAAGCATCCTCAGAGGTAGTGAGGTCTGTTGGAACTAGGAAAATGGGTTTATCTATCTGTGGAATGACCAGGGTGAGACAAAGGACTCTTGTCTGCTGGAGCTAGGTGTGAATGTTTCAACTGACCACCTTGATTAGCATTTGATGGCTTGGAAGTGCCTGGGGGGATTCTTTTGTTGAGAGTGATTTGATGTGCCTGATTGTTTCCCCTCTGTTGTTTTGCTATTGTAATTTTTGAGTTTTTTAATACTGGTAGCCAGATTTTGTTCATTTTCATGGTTTCCTCCTTTCTGTTGAAATTGTCCACATGCTTGTGGATTTCAATGGCTTCTCTGTGTAGTCTGACATGGTGGGTTTGAGAGTGGTCCAGCATTTCTGGGTTCCACAAACATGTGGACAATTTACAACAGAAAGGAAGAAACCATGAAAATGAACAAAATCTGGCTACCAGTATTAAAAAACTCAAAAATTACAACAGCAAAACAACAGAGGGGAAACAAACAGGCACATAAAATCACTCTCAACAAAAGATTCCCCCAGGCACTTCCAAGCCATTGAATGCTAATCAAGGTGATCAGCTGAAACATTCACAGCTAGCCCCAGCAGACAAAAGTCCTTTGTCTCACCCTGGTCATTCCACAGATATATAAACCCATTTTTCTACTTCCAACAGACCTCACTACCTCTGAGGATGCTTGCCATAGATGCAGGCGAAACGTCAGGAGAAAAATTGCCTCCAGAACATGGCCATATAGCCCGGAAAAACCTACAACAACCCATTCTAAGGATTATTTCTGTGTTTGGTTTATTAAAATATTCCCATCCAAACCCAGGTAACGAGGGTGGAGGCATTACTTTTCATTTGACCCTCGTATAATAACATGCGGTGACCTCAGAGGACTTCATCCATTTTCACAAAAAAAAAAGAGAAATCTGTGACCATCTTGCAGAAGTCTTTAAAACCCATCAATTTGGCCGAGAGCGATAATCTTCCAGAAGATCGACTTCGGTGCCTTAGCCGTAATGTAATTAAAAATCACTGTGTCGTGGATTTCAGAACAAAAGGGATTATCGTCTCTGTAAGGCGGGCATGCCCAAAGTCCGGCCTAGGGGCCGATTGTGGCCTGCTGCACACTAGCGCTGAGACACCTTTTCACCCATAACAACACATGGGGAATTCCAAGAGGGTCAGGAGAAGAGCAAATACAAAAGTAGAAATAATCCAAAAAAGGACAAAGTACATAAAGTCAAGAGCGCTAAAATCCACAGCGCTACTGCAAGCATAAATCCATAAACAAGGCAACAGGAACTTTTCCAAGGTAAACACTTCAAGGAAAAATGGGCATTAACTTAAACATGAACTTGAGAGCAGAGATGGCAATCCTTTGGCAACATTGTCTCCTCTGAGAAGCGTAAGGCCAATGCCTTAAACCTGAATACGTAGCCATGACATCATGCCGAACGCACCTGGGCTTCAAGGTCTTTTCGCGAATTCTCTCAGATCATCTACTGTTGAATTAATGCAGTCTGATACCACTTTGACTGCCATGGCTCATTGCTATGGGATCCTAGGAATTATAGTTTTGTGGGGCACCAACATTTGAATGATAATAGGTCTCCACAACCACCTATGGACCCACCGCTGAGACCCTAAGCTTGGAACGCAATCAGACTCATGGGCCATGAGTGGTAATAGGTCTCCACAACCACATAAGGACCCACCGCTGAGATCCTAAGCTTGGAATGCAATCAGACTCATGGGCCATGAGTGATAATAGGTCTCCACAACCACATAAGAACCCACCGCTGAGACCCTAAGCTTGGAACACAATCAGACTCATGGGCCATGAGTGGTAATAGGTCTCCACAACCACCTAAAGTCCCACCACTGGAACCTTAAGCTTGGAACTCAATCATACTCATGAGCAATGAGTGGTAATAGGTCTCCACAACCACCTATGGACTCACCGCTGAGACCCTAAGCTTGGAACGCAATCAGACTCATGGGCCATGAGTGATAATACGTCTCCACAACCACCTATGGACCCACTGCTGAGACCCTAAGCTTGGAACGCAATCAGACTCATGGGCCATGAGTGATAATAGGTCTCCACAACCACCTATGGACCCACTGCTGAGACCCTAAGCTTGGAACGCAATCAGACTTATGGACCATGAGTGATAAGAGCTCTCCACAACCACCTATGGACCCACCGCTGAGACCCTAAGCTTGTAACACAATCAGACTCATAGGCCATGAATGATAAGAGGTCTCCACAACCACCTATGGACCCACTGCTGAGACCCTAAGCTTGGAACGCAATTGGACTCATGGGCCATGAGTGATAATAGGTCTCCACAACCACATATGGACCCACCGCTGAGACCCTAAGCTTGGAACGCAATCAGACTCATGAGTCATGAGTGGTAATAGGTCTTCACAACCACCTATGGACTCACCACTGAGACCCTAAGCTTGGAACGCAATCAGACTCATGGGCCATGAGTGATAACCTATGATGATGATGACAGTGTAGACATGCTTTTGGATTCTGTGCCTAATACCTGGACTGGATTCCCTCCTCCACTGACCTGGGGACCTTGGTTGCCCTCCTGCAATGGCTAGTTTTGCCCTCATTCATCACTGTAAACACTTGAGCCCATGCTGGGAATGTTCTGCCCTGCCAATCGGAAACAAGCAGAGTGTCCTCATTGGAAGGGAAGAAGCCTGTGCCGTCCCGCAGGTAAGGATATCTAGGGTGCCGTCCTGGGGAGCCCAGAAGGTTATCTCCCCCTCTTGCCTGCCTTCCTCTTCTAAAGGGTAAACAATACATCATTTACATTTGAAAGGACTCTGTGTCCTTTCCCCCATTTAGAGCTTGCTTCTGCCTGAAGGAGTGCAACTGAAGGGAAAACACAGAAGAGTCAAAACAACACCATTCGGAGCTGCCGAAAAGAGCTCCGCCAGCCTGATATCTAAAGCAAGCCCTTGACAGGTTTTGAAGACCTAAGTACTCAAACCTAGTTACTGATTGCATTTGGGAAATAATTAGGTAGGTGAGGTGGGCGTACCAAACGACTGAAGAACAATGGCTTGAAAAGAATCGTCCTGAGCCATATTTTAACCCAATTTTATAATAACCAATTGCATAATGTTGTTGTTTATGAGGAAAGGGAAGCTGCAATGCCGAAAAGAAAGCTTACGCGGCACGCTTCGATGGCAAATCAGGACTCTTTCGAGATTGCAAAAACGTTCAAAAGGAGATTTCACCTGAACACGAGGAAGAACTTCCTGACTGTGAGTAGGCATGGTTAGGTACCGTCGGAATCTTCGTAATTCGGAATAAGTTTGGAAAAATTACCTTTTCGAAGCGATATGGATTTATCAAAAACAAGTCGTGCCAGACTCATCTGACCTCTTTCTTCGATAGAGCTACAAGCTGGGTAGATGCGGGGAATGATGCCGTGGGTGGAGCGTGTCTGGATTTCAGGAAGGCCTTCTTCGACAAGGTCCCCCATGACCTCCTGGCAAGGAAACTAGTCCAATGTGGGCGAGGCAAAACTACGGTGAGGTGGATCTGGAAATAGTTAAATGGACGAACCCAGAGGGTGCTCACGAATTCTTCCACTTCATCCTGGAAAGAAGTGACGAGTGGAGTGCCGCAGGGTTCCGTCCTGGGCCTGGTCCTGTTCAACATCTTTATTAATGACTTAGATGAAGGGCGAGAAGGCATGATCATCAAGTTTGCAGATGACACCAAATGGGGAGGGATAACCAAGACTCCAGAGGACAGGAGCAGGATTCAAGACGATCTTGACAGATGAGAGAGATGAAGGGCCAAAACTAACAAAATGAAGTTCAACAGTGACAAATGCAAGATACTCCACTTTGGCAGGAAAAACGAAATGCAAAGATACAGAATGGGGGATGCCTGGCTCGAGAGCAGTACGTGCGGAAAAGATCTTGGAGTCCTCGTGGACAACAAGTTAAACATGAGCCAGGAATGTGATGTGGCAGCAAAAAAGCCAATGGGATTTTGGCCTGCATCAAGAGGAGCCTAGTGTCTAGATCCAGCCAAGTCATGCTCCCCATGCTCTATTCCGCTTTGGTTAGATCACTTTACCTGGAATATTGTGTCCAATTCTGGGCACCACAATTCAAGAGAGATCTTGACAAGCTGGAATGTGTCCAGAGGAGGGCAACTCAAATGATCAAGGGTCTGGAGAACAAGCCCTATGAGGAGCGGCTTAAGGAGCTGGGCATGTTTAGCCTGAAGAAGAGAAGGCTGAGGGGAGATATGATAGCCATATCATATATCTTCCAACTCTGTGATTATTATTATTATTAGTATTAGTGATTATTATTATTATCTGTGATTATTATTAGTAGTAGTATTAAACTTTATTTGCTTCTGGGACTTGGTATTGGAGATTTCCTATTCTGGAAAGCCACATCGAAACAGCCAGGTCTTCAAGTTCTTTCTAAAGACTGCCAACATAGTCTAAGATCTTTGGGGAGGGTGTTCCAAAGTCGGGGGGCAACCACAGAGAAGGCCCTGCCCCTCGTCCCCACCAAACGAGCCTGCGACGCAGGTGGGATTGTGAGAAGGGCCTCTCCGGATGAACGGAGGGAGCCCGTGGGTTCATAAACGGAGATGCGGTCACGCAGGTAGGCAGGTCCCAAACCGTTTAGGGCAGTGGTTCTCAACGTTCCTAATGCTGCGACCCCTTAATACAGTTCCTTATGTTGTGGTGACCCTCAGCCATTAAACTATTTTCACTGCTACTTCATAATTGTAATTTTGCTACTGTTATGAATCGTTATGTAAATATCTGATATGCAGGATGTATTCTTACTGGAGTGTTATGGGAGGATTGCTTTTGTCATTTGGGAGTTGTAGTTGCTGGGATTTATAGTTCACCTACATTCAAAGAGCATTCTGAACTCTACCATGGAATTGGACCAAACTTGGCACACAGAACTCCCATGACCAACGGAAAATACTGGAAGGGTTTGGTGGGCATTGACCTTGAGTTTGGGAGTTGTAGTTCACCTACATCCAGAGAGCACTGTGGATTCAAACAATGATGGATCTGGACCAAACTTGGCACGAATATTCAATATGCCCAAATGTGAACACTGGTGAATTTCGAGGAAAATAGACCTTGACATTTGGGAGTTGTAGTTGCTGGGATTTATAGTTCACCTACAACCAAAGAGCATTCAGAAGCCCACCAACAATAGAATTAGGCCAAACTTCCCACACAGAACTCCCATGACCAATAGAAAATACTGTCTGTGATGTCTTTGGCGACCCCTCTGACACCCCCTCGTGACCCCTCCAGGGGTCCCGACCCCCAGGTTGAGAACCACTGGTAGGGCTTTGTAGGTAAGCACCTGCACCTTGAATTGGGCTCGGTAGGTAAACGGCAGCCAATGGAGCTCCTTGAACAGGAAGGTTGACCTCTCTCTGTAAGGAGCCCCAGTTAACATCCTGGCCGCCGCCCGTTGAACCAGTTGGAATTTCCGAGCCGTCTTCAAGGGCAGCCCCACGTAGAGTGCATTACAGTAATCCAACCTAGAGGTGACTAAGGCATGGACCACCCCGGCCAAATCAGCCTTTGCGAGGATTCTATGATTCTAAGGAGCCTTCACCACACTCTGGGGCAGAGAGTTCCACTGCTGAACAGCTCTCACAGTCAGGAAGTTCTTCCTCATGTTCAGATGGCATCTCCTCTCTTGTAGTTTGTTCTACCTAAGTGTCATATCTTACATTTGTCCTTGTTGAAGTGCCTTTTGTTAGTTTTGGCCAGTCACCTCTCTAATCGGTGGAGGTCCTTTTGCCTCCTGACCCTGTCCTTTGGAGGATTTGCTCTCTCTCCGAATTTGGTCCCTTCTGCCTGGTTTCTAGGCAGCCAGCAGACGGTTGCTTGGAACAGCTTGAGTCTGGAAGGCTCCCTTTGTGTTCCTGTCTAGTCTCGAGCCTGGTTTTTGTGGTCAAAGGGGTGAAGTCAGCAATGAGGAGGACGAGGAGGACAACCGCATGCCCTGAAGTTTTCCTCCACAGGCTGCTTTTAGTTCTGAGGAGGTGCTCTCCTGCCTCCTCTGAGGCACTGTTGGTTTTGCAGTTACGTGGAGCTCTGGAAAGTAGGTCACTGGGTCAGGAACAACAAGTTCTGACTGTTTGCCAGGGCCACCGCCTCCTCCTCCTCGTCTTCTTCTTCCCCTCCCTTAGCTCGGCTGCCTCCTCCTTCTCCCTTGTTCTGTTGCACTTGGCGGCTGTGACTGGCCGGGCCAAAATGGGTGCAAAGACTTCATCCCACGGAACAGGTTTCCCAAACAGCTCAAGCATACTCGTTTGGACATTCAATGGATGATTTTCCTACCTCCATCACACTCTCGCAAACTATTCATTTTATTCAGGAGTTCTCAGTTGATTTGCTCTCCCATTGCAGAGTGTTGTTCCTACCTAGAATCCTAGAATCCAAGAGTTGGAAGAGACCTCCTGGCCCATCATCCAGTCCAACCCCATTCTGCCAAGAAGCAGGAATATTGCATTCAAATCACCCCTGACAGATGGCCATCCAGCCCCTGTTTAAAAGCTTCCAAAGAAGGAGCCTCCACCACACTCCGGGGCAGAGAGTTCCACTGCTGAACGGCTCTCACAGTCAGGAAGTTCTTCCTTATGTTCAGGTGGAATCTCCTCTCTTGTAGTTTGAAGCCATTCTTCCATTGCGCCCTAGTCTCCAGGGAAGCAGAAAGGAAGCTTGCTCCCTCCTCCTCCCTGTGGCTTCCTCTCACATATTTATACATGGCTGTCATGTCTTCCCTCAGCCTTCTCTTCTTCAGGCTAAACATGCCCAGCTCCTTAAGCCGCTCCTCATAGGGCTTGTTCTCCAGACCCTGGTCATTTAGTCACCGTCCCTATGACATATTCCCTTCTTATATTTATACATGGCTGTCATGTCTTCCCTCAGCCTTCTCCTCTTCAGGCTAAACATGCCCAGCTCCTTAAGCCGCTCCTCATAGGACTTGTCCTCCAGACCCTGGTCATTTAGTCACCGTCCCTATGACATATTCCCTTCTCATATTTATACATGGCTGTCATGTCTCCTCTCAGCCTTCTCCTCTTCAGGCTAAACATGCCCAGCTCCTTAAACCGCTCCTCATAGGGCTTGTTCTCCAGACCCTGGTCATTAATCACCGTCCCTATGACATATTCCCTTCTCATATTTATACATGGCTGTCATGTCTCCTCTCAGCCTTCTCTTCTTCAGGCTAAACATGCCCAGCTCCTTAAGCCGTTCCTCATAGGACTTGTCCTCCAGACCCTGGTCATTTAGTCACCGTCCCTATGACATATTCCCTTCTCATATTTATACATGGCTGTCATGTCTCCTCTCAGCCTTCTCCTCTTCAGGCTAAACATGCCCAGCTCCTTAAACCGCTCCTCATAGGGCTTGTTCTCCAGACCCTGGTCATTAATCACCGTCCCTATGACATATTCCCTTCTCATATTTATACATGGCTGTCATGTCTCCTCTCAGCCTTCTCTTCTTCAGGCTAAACATGCCCAGCTCCTTAAGCCGCTCCTCATAGGACTTGTTCTCCAGACCCTGGTCATTTAGTCACCCTCCTCTGGACACATTCCAGCTTGTCAATATCTCTCTTGAATTGTGGTGCCCAGAATTGGACACAATATTCCAGGTGTGGTCTAACCAAAGCGGAATGGAGCATGGGGAGCATGACTTCCCTAGATCTAGACACTAGGCTCCTCTTGATGCAGGCCAAAACCCCATTGGCTTTTTTTGCCGCCACATCACATTCCTGGCTCATGTTTAACTTGTTGTCCACGAGGACTCCAAGATCTATTTCACACGTACTGCTCTCGAGCCAGGCCTCCCCCATTTTGTATCGGAATGTTGGTGGGCAGGAAAAGAGATTGAAAGATGGGCTCAAAGCCAACCTTAAAAACTCTGGCATAGACACTGAGAACTGGGAAGCCCTGGCCCTTGAGCACTCCAGCTGGAGGTCAGCTGTGACCAGCAGTGCTGTAGAATTTGAAGAGGCACGAATGGAGGGCGAAAGAGAGAAACGTGCCAAGAGGAAGGCGCATC